ACTTAGGCTGCTTCTCCTGCTGCACTAGAGGCTGCTGCTGGTGCAGAGGCAGCGGCTGCTGCTGGTGCAGAACCTGTAGCTGGTGCGGAGGCTGCTGCTGGTCCAGTGGCTGCTGCTGGTGCAGAGGCTGCTGCTGGTTCAGCGGCTGCTGATGGTGCAGAGGCGGCTGCTGGTGCAGTGGCTGCTGTCAGTGCAGAGGCTGCTGCTGCTGCAGAGGCTGCTGCTGGTGCAGAGGCTGCTGCTGGTGCAGTGGCTGCTGCTGGTTCAGAGGCTGCTGCTGGTTCAGCGGCTGCTGATGGTTCAGAGGCTGCTGCTGATGCAGCGGCTGCTGTCGGTGCAGAGGCTGCTGCTGGTGCAGAGGCTGTTGCTGGTGCAGTGGCTGCTGCTGGTGAAGAGGCTGCTGCTGGTGCAGTGGGGGCTGATGTGGGTGCAGCGGAGGATGCTGCTGGTGCCGTTGGTGCTGTTGCTGCAAAGGGTACATAGTCCGTTGTAGAAGAGGCTGATGCTGGTACAACTGTTGCTGAAGTTGTATGACCTGCTGCAGCTGCTGCAACAACAATGATGCCTGTATACCCTGCCCTTGACCCTCACCATGCATCTCTGGCACATCTGTAGGCTGGTTTTCCCTTGCTCGCTCCGTTGCCTGTCTTGGCTGCCGTGCACGCTGTGCCAGTGCACGCTGTGCCCGGCTCTGCCTCCCTTGCTGCCTCTGCCCCGTAGGCCGGCGGAGCGTCTGAGTGGTCTCGTCGTCTTCCCCTTGTCCCTCGGTCTCTTCCTCATCCTCCGCAGGGATCACCTCTGCCTGTAATTTAAGTAGCTGCCTCTGCCTCAACCTTCTGGTGGCAACTGCATCTGCACTTGGAGGTTGCCCCAGGACACGCACATGTGACCAGAATGGTGCCATCGGGTTTGCTGAGGGACCCGCCCCATTTGCCTGGTCTGGCAAGGGGGGTCCACGCCCACGTGTGACATACTCAGTCACATATGCTCTAGCAGCATTCACTCTCTCACTCTCACTCTGTACCCTCTGGTCCTCGGCCAACAGCGAGCCATCATTGGACCCTCCATTATCTCCGTGGGTGCCTGTGTGTGATGTATTTTGTTCCTCAGTCCATGGGTTGACGAGAGACACCCCTCGAATTATGGACAGTACCATGCAGGCCAGACTGTTGCAGCCCTGCATCTCCCATGGTCATAATGTCAAATCTCTCCACACCTTTCGTGCCCATTGTATTCACCGTCTCAGGCTCACCTCGCTCTGTACCTGAGTCATCACAGTCACATTCATCATCCGATGATTCATCCTCCCCTTCTTCACCACATTCCCATTCAATATCTTGATTCTCATTACCTGTACCAGTGTCGGGCGCCTCTATGACAGTTGCCCCGGCTGGTGTTTGAAGCCCTCGTGTTTCTTCCCCTATTTCGATAATGTCGTCCTCCATATCCGATCCACCACTCTCCAATTCGGATCCATCGTCTACATCTGCGATGTGGACCACCCATTCAGCTGGTGGTGTTGAGCCACACTGATGGTTCCTAGCGCCCTGCGTCACACCCTCCTCCTGCCTTCCCCCTTGCTGCCCCCCCTGCCCCTCCTGCCTTCCCCCATGCTGCTGCCCCTGTCCCTCCTGCCTTCCCCTCTGCTGCTGCCCCAGTCCCTCCTGCATTACCCCTTGCTGCTCTCCCTGCCAATCCTGCCTTCCTCCCTGTGGCTCCCCCTGTCCATCCTGCCATCCCCTCTGTTGCTGACCCTGTTCCTCCTGCCTTCCTCCCTGCTGCTGCCCCTCTCCCTCCTGCCTTCCCCTCTGCCGCTGCCCCTGTCCCTCCTGCCTTCCCCTCTGCTGCTGCCCCAGTCCCTCCTGCCTTACCCCTTGCTGCTCTCCCTGCCAATCCTGCCTACCTCCCTGTTGCTCCCCCTGTCCCTCTTGCCTTCCCCTTTGCTGCTGCCCCTGTCCCTCCTGCCTTCCCCTCTGCTGCTGCCCCTGTCCCTCCTGCCTTCCCCTCTGATGCTGCCCCTGTCCCTCCTGCCTTCCCCTCTGCTGCTGCCCCAGTCCCTCCTGCCTTACCCCTTGCTGCTCTCCCTGCCAATCCTGCCTTCCTCCCTGATGCCCCCCCTGTCCCTCCTGCCTTCCCCTCTGCTGCTGCCCCTGTCCCTCCTGCCTTTCCCTCTGTTGCTGCCCCTGTCCCTCCCACCTTCCCCCCTGTTGCTCCCCCTGTCTCTGCTGCCTTCCCCTCTGCTCCCCCCCCTGTCCCTCCTGCTGTCCCCTCTGCTCCTCCCCCTGTCCCTGCTGCTGCACCGCTTGCCCCTGCTCCACACCTGCCTGCTGACCATCCCTCCCCGTGTTGCGCTGTCTCCGGATGTGTTCCCGAAACCTGGACAACTCCTGTCGTGGCTGCTCCTGTCCTTGCTGGCCTCGTCGGCAGCTGTCCCGTAACCTGTGGCGATGTCCACAGACCAAGCACGCCACGTATCTTCCCCTTGCACGTGGAACAACATCTGTCTGCAGAGTGATGTGATCTTGCACCGACCTTCGTGCTGCACGCTTAGCCCTAGCCTCCTCACGATCCACACAAGTGCGCACATTGTGACCCTTCACCTTGCACCTACCACATTTGCGCAACTTCCCTGGATTGGTCTCGCCACGAGATCGGATGCGCTTGGACTTCCTCCGGCCCGACCTCTTCTTGTACTTTGGAGGGAGTTTGATCCTATCTGGGACGCACGACGAGGGATCCAACAGGATGATGTCCTCCGCGTACATGGCCTTCAACGTCTCGAGCTTGTACACCCGATGGACCATGTCGAAGGGCGCGCGGCTCTTGCCAGCTGCTGCGAAGATGTGCAAGCACGGTAGCCCGAATTCCCTGTTACATTGGTTTGGGACGTGAGGAAAGGGCGAGAACCATGAGTAAGCATCGCTGTGGTTGACAACAAGCAGCCTTAACGATGAGGCAAGTCGCATGATTCTGGAAAAAAGAACCTCATTAATCACAGTAGTGCATGTTCTCGTTAGAGCATACCAGGTATAGTTACATGTGCACGTCTTTGCAGCAAGATCCACGATTCTGCTCTCCTCACACTTGGTGTGTGAGACCTCCCATCGTCCACGTGGCAGCCCCCGCGATCCGTAGCTCCCTGAATCAGCAAAGTTGCCCCGCACCACTTCTGTCGCAGTGGTGCTCCATCCTCCCTTGGTGCTGGAGTATGTCTTCAAGCGATCGCACCTCGTGAGGGCCAGCTTCAATGCCCAGCTCAAAATGACGAAGCCAATAGCCTTGTCACGAAGGGCAGACATAGAAGCATGCTGAGACTCGACCGGATTGGACGTGAGGCAACCGAATCGTTGCCCACTTTCTTAATAGCTGGCCATCTTCTCCCTCCGAGTACCTTTGCCCGCCAAGACAAAGAGCCTCGATTTTGGCCATCCGATAGTCATACAACTTCTCGGTTAATGACTCAGATGCCTCCCTGATGAGCTGACTCAGGTCGATGCCGAACTTTGCCCTAAAGTTCCGTGTGAGATGAGCCATACAATAGGACACTTGTGCATTAGGCACCACCTCCCGACACACAGCATCCCAGCCCTTCGCACGGTCGTGTTTCACTGTCCGCCGAGTTGAGCTCCGGAAAAACACGCAGCAACTCCCTCAAGGGTAGCGCGCATCCCTCCTTACTCTCAAACTCCACAAATGCAATGCCCACAGACACATAGTGCCCATCCCCATCAAGCACCACGAGATTTATGGTGTGGCCCGCCCAAACTGTCTTGTTGTGACACCCATACACAATCAGGATTGGTATTGCATTCAGCATTGTGGACCTTGCAACGTTGGGAATTACACAAGCGCTGTAAAAGCGACCTTGCATCTTGCTGAAGTAAACCAATGTGCCAGGGTTATCTGTAGCAAGCCTCTCCATGATGCTTTGAACAAACTGAAATGATTCCTCAGTTAGCAAGGGATCGTTTTCTTTCAAGTCATTCAAGGCTCTCCATGCAGTTGCATAGGATGCCTGTGCCCCATAGCGCATCCGCATTTTGTCGAGTAGCATCCTAGGAGTCAAGCTTGTTGTCGGCATCGACATTGCAAGCTTTATGAGGCTTCTCCTCGGGGATGGACGAGGATGGGCATTGCACAAGTGATGGTGCTTTAAGTGCATAACTGTAATCCATATGTCACCTACATGGGTAGCCCAAATGTGAATTTTGAAGGGGCATCTAATCTCAGCTGTTACGAATGGACCCCTGACCGACCGGCTAATTACAAAGGGACACTTGACGTCTAACCTCTTGGGGATACTCTGTGCCATGACATATGGGCAGAGTGCTCTGTCACATTGCTCCTCAATGTCTTCACGCGCCTCCACTGCATTTCTGTAGCGCTTATTTGTAGGGAAGTCTAAAGGTTGGCTGCTACTAGCCATCGACACCTGAATATTGCATGGAGGGGTGGGGATGAGGATGGGATGGAGGTGGGGGTAGCAGAGCGGAAGGAGGGGGTTGTTTGATTTTAAAACTACACACCTAGAAGCACTGAATGCCCCCTAGTTTTAATCCAGATGCCTGACAATGCCATGTGGGAGATGAAGCCAAACAATGTAAAAAATTGACATACTGCATACAGTCACACATTACCAGAGAAACAAAGGAGCACCTGCTTTCTACGGCACCACCATGGGCTCTCTCAGCTGCTATGGAACGATGTGATGTGCTGAAAACCACCCTGCATCGTCGTCGTGTGACCGCGTAGCTTCTACATGATCAGGTCGGCGTACCAGGCTAAACCGAAGCTCGAAAAGACAGCGGGGAAAGTGCTAGCATCAGTGGGAAAAATTCTAGCAATAGCGGGAAAGTTTGAGCATTGGTGGAAAGCACAGATGGTTTGCTGCTCCTCATGCCACGAGAGCTGTAAGCGCAAGAAAACATTATTATACCATAATGTCCTATCCGTGCGACGGAGTAATCTGTGCTGCGACGAACGGGAACTTTGAATAAGCGGAACTCATGCTGCAGACTAAGGGGTTGAGATTAGGGGTTTCGAGGAGGAATTGCTGCTGCGAGACTCGAGCGTTCAAATGCTTGAACGGGCTTGTTCAAAAGGCAACCACCCTGCACCACTGCAAATTTTACAGGAAAGTACAGCACCCCCTGCAAAACCTTTTCAAGACGTTTTGGCCGCACGAGATTTCTCTCGTTTCATGTCCACCAATCGCGTCAGTGTGGCAAAAATGAACGTTCCATTAATTAAGGTTCCCCCTCGCGCAACACCTCGGCATCCCCCCGAAACAAGAAGAGCGGTTCCCCCCTTCCCACCCCACTTGTCAAATCCGATTTAGTCGCAAGTGGCTGATCTGCAGCATTTGTGGTGTTGACCCGCCAGCCAAGCATATCGACAGTCACGTCACCTGGGAAAGGGTGGTTGGGGTGGTGGTGAGCCAGGCCAAATCTCTGCTGTAACAGTGCCACAAAAGTCAAGGGGATTACGCCTGAACAGCATTCGGGGCATAATTTGAGTGTTAACAATATTGGCCGTGAGGGTTTGGTACGGGTACTAGTAGTACTAGTTTTGCAGTCGTTGTTCCCTCAACCGTTCATTTGTGGCACAATGGTTGCTTCTTGGTGCAAATTCCTCCTCGCACTCTTCCTAGTCCTTGCTGGTCATGCCTACCATGCTGTGGCGTTCACCGCCATTGGAGGTACATCTCGTGCTGTTCTCTATTCTATGTGGCGAAGTGTAACTGGGTCGTGGGAGTGCAGTTCGTATTATCTAGGTGAATGTATAATCGCTTGTGAATCCAGGTGTACATAGGAACCAAATTTCGTGAGCTTGAGGCTTGCTTCAACAACAACGGCAACACGGTGCATTGTTTGCTGGGAACAACGCCCAAGCGGCCCTGCGTGCTGGCAGTGCTGACGAGGTGTTACTACTGGTACGACTCTCAGCGGAATTGGAGGAAGCCTAAAGAATTCACCACACCGCCTTTCTGCCCCCTTTGCCGCCTAGATACACTCCCTCCAGACGAAGCCGTGTTGGCGGACATCGCAGCAGCATGGGATCGAGACGACCTTCCTCAAGGCTGCAACCAATTTCAAGTAAGCTGCACAGAATCTGGCATACCTACATCTCTGTAAGGCACAGCTAAAGCTATGACCATGTGCAGTAAGTTATTGCTCTTCATGACTGTGGCACACGCACACTCTTTTCACTTGAAAGAAAATCTATGGAAACTTTCACTAGGCATTCCTTGGAGTTTCCACGGTCGTCACAAAAATGTGGATCTCACCTATATAGTAGGTTTGTTCGTATATCAAGGCTACTCCATGACAGGCATACCTATGCTGTAACGTAGCTGAGATGTGAACGTGCAATTCCGCTGCGCCCCTCTTGTAACCTCATTTTGACCCAGCGGGTAGCGAGGCTTTATACTGTAATCAGAGCCTAGGGTTTAATTCCCAACTGGTCACATTTTCCGCCAAATGCGAGAGATTGAATGTGGTAACCAGTTGCAAACCCAGCGGACGATCCTAGCCGCTGGCCTAGTCCACCAGCGAAGTCGATGACTTGGAACCCAGCAAAATTGGAGGTCCTTGTAGGGGCCGACTCCCTTAGTCAACGAGGACGCTGGCGCCAGGGGGGGACGAGTGTAACGTACCTGAGATGTGAACGTGCAATTCCGCTGCGCCCCTCTGGTAACCTCGTTTTGACCCAGTGGGTAGTGAGGCATTATATATGACGTACCTACGGTATTTCTGATCCTTGTAATTTGGGATGGTGCAATGTTTTGCCGAATAATACGAATGCGACGCAGATGCATTCCATACGCTGTGGTGCATCTCATGCGCTATCGGTGGTGCATCTCATGCACAATCAGTAAGGCATTACTTGTGAATGGTGTGTGGCTGCATCAATTGCTTTTGATTTGGCATTGGAGTTCGGCAGCATCCATTGTTCCATCAATTTGCAGCTCCCCCTTTGTCGTTGCCCCCTGCTCTTTCATATTGTGCAGAGATCTCTCCAGCATTGCCACGCAGGGGTTCATACCGCCCTCCATCGGCAATCTTACTGGTCTAACTTACTTGTAAGGATCATTCCCCCCTTCTTTTAACACGCCCAAATATTACCAGATTTTTTTATAATTTGTGAGTCTTTTGATCTCGTCATTGGTGGTTCTTCCAGATAGGATGCCCATTATGCCCATAAAAAATCAGAACAGAAAAAGACTGCGACATGACAAAAAAGAACGAGTCGAGATTTCCAATGGTTCGACCCGACTCAACAGTTTGGCTTATTACTCAACCCGGCCCGCCCGGACCTGACATAGCCCGACCATTTGGTGTCAACTTACCCGACTCGACCCGACCCGAATCGACCCGAATGCTGGTCATGTATATACGACCTGTATTACCCGGGTCTAGGGTTGAGCAAATACCCGACCCGACCCAAAATTGCCCTACCCGACTTGGAGTTCGGGTCGGGTCGGGTTGGGTAAGCATGAGCCGAGCCAGGCTCGGCTTGCCCCGAGCTGGGTCCTCAAGATCCCCGACTCAGCTCGTCAAGGGGGCTTGTGTACCCTCTCAAGGGGGTTTACGGGGTTTGGGGTCTCTAGTCCTGGACAAGGTGAAAAAAAAATGGTGTTTTCACATTTTTTTGCCGTTTAAAACGGGATCGTATAAACGGTTCTATAATACGGTTAATGCGATAAAAAAATGTATTTTGCATTTGGTGGAAAAAAAAGGTCGTTTAATATGACCGTTTTTTTCGTACCACCGTATGGTGTACACAGTTTTTGGCTGAGCTAATACTATCCGTGCTCAACATTTGTCAGTCACGCAATCGTTCAACTTTTAGCCGAGCCGCGAGCGACCTGACAAATTCTCGAATTTATGGAGCCCAGAACAGAGCGCGTGTTCGTTTAGCTTCGAGAATTTGTCAAGTCGGGCTCCACAAATTCCCAGAATCCAACATTTGCGGAGCCCAGAACAGAGCGAGTGTTCGTTTCGCAAAATTTGTGAGCCTTTTTTCGCGCCCTGCCGCCCCTTTGTTCCGAGCATCGCGCGGTCTGACAAACATTTGAGAACATGCGATTAGGGATTTGCAATTTCGCGCAACCAATCACGTCATTTTGGGGTCCATCCCTCACAACGAAATGGGATGTGATCCCTCTCAAAGCTCAAGTACGAACATCGAGCAGCTCCACAGCATTGGGCATTGCTACTCAACCTCCTCCTCAACTCTGTACTAAGACCCGCTAGTTCTTGCATGCACATTGTACTATTGCGTACAACACTTCGTGGTTGGTCATGTCTAGACCGACATCCAGGCTCAGAAAAGGAACGGCAAGAAAAAAAAAAAAAAAAAAAAAAAAAAAAAAAAAGGGCCCCAACAGCATTGTTAGCAGCTGCGTGTGTGTTCACTATGAAGCATCTGTCACTCCTAATGCTACTAGAATAGGACATCTCATCTACGGCACGTCTAACGACAAGCTGAAGAACGTCGCACTGTGTCAGTCGGAGTATGCGAAACATCTGAGGCCTAGAAGGCGACGGACTAGGGCCATGGACACCTCATACCTCTTCAAAGCTGCTAATTATCTCGTAAAACGGTGCAGCCACTTGATTACGCGTTAATATTCCAAAAAAAAAAAAAAAAAAAAAAAAAAAACTTCATACAAGAAGGCCTTTTAAAAAAACGTCGTTTTTAACCAAAACCCAATCGTAAAATATGGCCATTTAAAAATGATCGTTTAGTACGGATGTTCTTTTTCACCTCGATGGTCCAGATTGTGTAGGTGAACAATTGGTTCTATGTTTGGGGTGCCATTGCAAGTCTAGGTGGACTGAATCATGTTTCACTTGTATATAGCCACGACTAAGTCTAAGTCTACCTCACTTATGTAGAGTCTCCTACTCAGTTACGGAATCCAGAGTTAAGTCACAATAATTTAATCGAGTAGCATGGTAGTTTAAAAGGTGCCCCTTTGCCGATGACATGTGCTCAGCGCAAGTCAACGCAAGCATGCTCCACGTGGCAGAAGATAGCACAAGCTACCAACCAACCACCCAGCCTCATTGTTTAGCACACAGCCTACAGCTCCTCCAGCCCAAGCTTGTTCGTCTCTTTGATCCACCCAGGCTTTAACAGGGAGACATTAGGGTGTGTGCGAGTCCATGACTTGAGCGTCAAAGCGGCTCGCACGCTCTCCCCCGTCAACCTCTGCCTGTGGCGGGTGATCACATATCGGCTCTGACTGAATACACGCTCGCTGGCTGCCGATGTTGCTGGTATGGCCAGGTAATCCTTGGCATATGTGACCTCTCGCGCCAGTACGCTTGTGGGCAACCCTCATGCAAATCCTCCTCAATGTAACGATCCACCTGATCCCGCACCCTACCCCACCGACGAATGGAGAGTCTGGCTCAAGCCACCCCGCACTGGCCCACCTCTAGCGTCTCCACCCTCAACCCCCCCCGCCCGCCAAGCCCACCCCCCGTCTGCCCCCATCTAGTTGCTGTGCCGCCTGCTGCAGCCGCTTACTGTACTCAGCAAAGCGAGCCCATGCAAGGGTGAGCACCTCTGAGGGCTTGAAGCTCGCCGCAGGCCTGCCCTGCTGCTCCCCCTCCTCCTCCTCCTCCTCCTCCTCCTCCTCCTCCTCCTCCTCCTCCTCCTCCTCCTCCTCCTCCTCCTCCTCCTCCTCCTCCTCCTCCTCCTCCTCCTCCCCCTCCTCCTCCCCTCATCCACTTTGTACCCCTTCGGAACTGGGGGCTCAGGGATGTTACCCGCGAGTACTCCCTCTCGGCGTCACACTAGTGGTCGTGTGCCAGTTGTGCACAACGTTCTAGCAGTTCACGACAAAGTCAAGGTCCTTGGCTTTATAAAATCCAAGGCAGTTGCTCCGCACCATGTGGATCGTCTTCCACACTACTCAACGGCGCTCGCAGTTGGCGGCAAACACGGCATGCATGAGCACACACGTAGGCAAGTGTCGAGAGCTCAGGGCAGTTGGCACCGTGCCAAGTCCACCAATCCTTCTTGCTCTGCTTCCCCTCCTTCACCTTCAGCCGTGCTCTATTGCCGCGGGCATCCCAAAGCTTCTCTTCGGCTTCACGAACGTGGTAAGCCCTCCCTGTGAGTTGACTGGTGTGCTCCTCCCCTTCACATCCTTCCTAGTGCAGGTGATGGTCTTGCTGTAGCGGACCAGGAATGCTGTGAAAAACCTGGTGCATTCCGAGTCATACCCAAGAATCTTCTTCTTAAGGTTAGTCGGGTTAAAAGATGCATGCGGTCAACTTCATGCATGGAGCAAGCTAGACTCCCGTCCCAACTGTCTTGGACAATCTTCGTGATCATCGTCTTAGCCTGCACGTGCTTCCAACCCGGCAACATGCTGCTCTGTGCCCACCAAATTTCTCTCTCTCACTGCTTGTAGATGAGCGTAGTCTCGCCAAGGGAAGGGTAAAAGAATATCCCCTGCATCAGGTCGGGGATGGTCCCCCAGAACCCCATGCCATCAGAGTTCGCCGATTGCTCCCGACCCAACATTGCCACCACTGCGCCCGCTTGTGCCAGCCCGAAGGGGTGTCGCCACAATAACCCCACCATGCACGTGCTCCCCTCTTCCCCCCTCGACCTCTGACCCACCACCACCACTCCCCCTCTCACCCCCTTCCCCTCGTCCTCCACCTCTAGCTGCCCCTGGCCCACTCCCACGCCCGCCTCCTCCACCACCCTGCGCTTGGTCGCCCCGTGGCCGACCCCACGACCCCGCGCCCCTCCAATGCTCTTCGGCCCCCTTTCCCTTCCCTGTGCCTGCCTTCTTCCGCTCCTCCATCCCACTCCCGCCGCCCCCCTTTTGTCTCCCAAACATGCGGTCATCCCCGCACTCCACCACCTCCTCGATGCCAGGCTGCCACGCCTAGTCGCCCCCACACGCCGGCCTTGTGTCACGAGAGCTAGGTAGCTAGGAAGCCATGAAAATGGTGAGAGGGTTTAGCTAGGAGAAAGTTGATGAGAGAAAAGAGAGAGATAAGAAGAGAGAGGGGTACAAGGAGGGGGTGTTGTACCCTCTACAGTACGTTTCAGTAACGCCTACCAAGCCTACAATTATATAACTTACATATAATTTAACACACCCCCTAGGCTTGGAAGTAGAAGAATCCACACACACCCACACCCCCTAACCTAGCACCCCCATTCCCAGCAGCAGCCACGACTACTCCGGCATGGCCAACCCCACGGCTCGTGAGATGGCGACGGTGGCAGCGGCGGCAATGATGACAGCAGCGGCGGCAATGATGACAGCAGCGGCGGCAGTGATGACAGCAGCGGCGGCGGCGGTGTGCGGCGGCAACAGGCCAGCGGCAACAGCGGCGGCTTCGAAGACAGCGGCGACGGCAGCGGCGCCCGCCCTCTTGGCGGCGTGGCCAAGCTCCGCAACGATGGGGAAGACCCTCACGAGTTAGGCATCGGCTGTGGCGAGGAGGAGGGGACGCAGGGGAAGGGGGGGGGGGGGGGGGGGGAGGGGGGGGCGTGGTCCAGCATCACGCCCGTGGCTGGTGTGCGGGCGGCAGGTCGAGCAGCGCCACAGGAGTTGCGCGGCCGGCTGCAGCCCGATGACGCCACCATCGGCATCGTTACGACGTCGCCACAGCGCGGCGTCAATGCCGCGGAGGCTCATCGGAGCTGCGATGGCAGCACCAAAAAGCCGCCATGGCAGCTCAAAAAGGCCGCCACGGTGGCACGAAAACGACGATGGAAAAGAAACGAGCACCCGGCGGAAGCGTGGGGAGCAGGCCCGGGAAGGGCAACCTGCTCTGATACCATGTCACAAGAGCTAGGTAGCTAGGAAGCAATGAAAATGCTGAGAGGGTTTAGCTAGGAGAAAGTTGACAAGAGAAAAGAGAGAGAGATTAGAAGAGAGAGGGATACAAGGAGGGGGTGTTGTACCCTCTACAGTAAGTTTCAGTAACGCCTACCAAGCCTACAATTATATAACATATGTATAATTTAACACCTTGCCCTCTCTCCCTGCCCTCCATACTGCATGGCGGGCCACCACCCTTGCGATCGCCTCCGTGCTCCTCCTCCCATACCTCCTCTCCGATCCCATGAACGCCACTCCCAAGCGCAAAACCCTCCCGTTTACAGGCAGTGGAGGCAGGTGAGGGATGCGTCGGCAGCTGCTTAGCTAGCCTGCCCAACACCCTCCTCCACCTTGGTGCCCTTTTTAGTCATGGCGCCATGGCCTTTGGTTGCTCCTTCGTCTCCGTAGTACTGTCCCCCCCACCTTCCCCCTCCCCCCCCCACCCATCCGCCCCAACTGTCATAGAGACTAGGGTTGAGAAAAACAGGGTATTTACCCGACCCGGCCAAGTTTTGCAATACTCGACTTCGGGTCGGATACGGATCGGGTAATTAGTCCAGGACCATTACCCAGACCTAGCCTTTGAGGGTGGGTAATACAATACCCGCCTGGCGGGTCCGGTCCGGGTATACCCGACCCGGCGCACTTAAAAATCGGGTATTGCTACCCGCCCTTAATAACATGCCTAAACGAGTTCATTTTGACCCCCATGTGTGCCATGGTTGGGCCTGTCCTGGGGTGGGGGAGTAGCAACGACTGCGTAGTGATTCAAAAACACGAGAAAGGGGTATTACACGACGCCGGGTATTTTGTACCCGATCCGACAGGTACTCGATATCCGCTTGGTCGGGTATCAATTCGAGTAGCGGGTAGCTATTACCCAGCCGGGTACCCGAAACCGACCCGCCGGGTAATTTTCTGGAATCCTAATACCCGACCCGCCCAAAAAGCGGATCCGGTTCCGGGTACCTATGCTTGAGCAAACTACCCGCCCGAATCGGGTACCCGTTACCCGGATCCTCTTTTAGGGCGGGTCGGGTATCGGAAATCCTGAAAATTACCCGGCGGATCGGGTCCGGGTTACCCGGGCGGGTATTCAATACCCGCTACCCGAAATGCTACTCGACGTGTCGAGTAACGTGTACCCGACCCGGTTGGGTAAATAATACCCGAGGTCGGGTGTTCCACCTAGACATGGGCGTAAGTCGCGCTGTGTTTTAGGTTTTGCAGCAAAACGGTTTGGGAGGTGAGGGGGGACGAATGGAGCATTTGTGAGGAGAAGTTGGAGTTTGTAGATGGGGAGGAGTTAAGTGCGGTGAAAGGCAGGGAGTTGGATGGGAGTTGGAGAAGAGGTTGGAGTTTGTAGATGGGTAGGAGTTCAGTGCGGTGATAGGGAGGGAGTTTGGCTGGAAATTGGAGTTTGTAGATGGGGAGGAGTTCAGTGCGGTGAAAGGGAGGGAGCTGGGTGGTAAAAATTTGACCCCCAGAAAACGCGACTCTCATTTGAGAGTCGCATTTTCAGAAACCCTACCTAGCCTAGCCCATTTTTAGGATGTCCACTAGTAGGTGGCGGGTAGTATTACCCGCTTTTCAGGGTAACCGGGTCGGGTATACCCGGACATGCCAGGCGGGTATTGTACCCGCGGGTGGACCCGCGCAGCTCGAGGAGGCGGCGACAGCGAGAGGACTCGCAGCGGCACGACGTGGAGTGACCGCAGGTGGACCTGGGCGGCACAAGGAAACGGGGCAGTGCGGGAGCGGCGGCGGTTGACCGGTGCGGGAGCAGCGGCGGCTGGTGTTGGAGTCTGCTTCTGATGACTGTGGCTGCTGCTGATGTCGGCGGCGGCGGCTGGTGTTGGTGGCTAGTGCTGAGATCGGCGTCGGCGGCTGCTGCTGATGTCAGCGGCGGCGGCTGGTGTTAGCGACTGCTGCTGAGGCTGGCGGCGGCGGCTGGTGTTGGCGGCTGCTGCTGGTGTCAGCGGCTGCTGCTGGTTTCAGCAGCTGCCGTTGGTGTTGGCGGTTGCTGCTGATGTCGGTGGCTGCCGTGGATGTCGGCAGCTGCTGCTGAAGGCGGCGGCTGTGGGTGGGCAGCGGCGGCAGCTGTTGGTGGGTAGCGGCGGCGGTTGCTGGCGTGGGCAGTGGCGGCGGTTGCTGCAGAGAGAGGCACGGGCAGCGGCTGCTGGCTTGGGCAGCGGTGGCGGGAGCTGCGGAGAGAGGTAGTGGTGGCGGCTGCTGGATTGAGAAGCGGCAGCAGCTGCGGACGTGGGCAGCGGCGGCAGGTGCGGCAGAGCGGGGCAGCGGCGGTGGCTGCTGGTGAGGGAAGCGGTGGCGGCGGCTGCAGGGAGGGGCAGCGGCGGTGGACGCGGGCAGTGGCGACTGGTGTACACCTAAAGAGCACACTAACCGAGCATGTTATTATAGAGATCATCTAACTGAAGGCACGTGGCGAAATCGCTCGGGATCTGTTGGGGCAGCTTCGTCATAATTGAAGGCTGCTTAGATGAGGTAAGGAGCGACAGGTCCTATTGCTTTGCGACCTCAAAGAGATCCTCCCTGGCCGCAAGGGTCGTAGGTGATAGGGCAGCGTCCGGTGGGAGTTCGGATCAGCTCTGCCTTGGCGACGACAATTTGGTGGTTGACCACCCATTCACCGGGGGCGAGCTTCCACGTTCGCCTCAGCCTCATCCTCTGCCTTTCACGGAAAATTCGCTAGGGGCAGCCCACTCTGACCGACTATTATTGCCGTCGCTTCCCCTCTCTTCCACAGAACCATCCGCCCCTTCCCCCTCAGGTGCACTCCCCCTCTCCCCTGTGCGGGCCAGGGACTGGCTCGTGACCCACAGCATGGGCTCCCCGATCCAGGCGGGGCTGATCACCCTCCTCCCCTCGCCCCCGACCCCTTGAACCCTGTCCCCTTCCACGAGCACGACCCCTCCCTCGCTCGGTGCCATGTCCGCCCTGCGGCGTTCGCTCCTCCCCTTCCACTGGTATCACCACGTATTGTGGTGCCGCCAGCTTCGGTTCCGCAGCCGCCCCTTGCGGCGATCCTGTCGGGATCAGGTGGTCGTCGTGTTGGTGCTCGGCCAGCCAGCTGCTCCACAGCAGGGAGCTGGTCGCCACCACCAATCATGCCGTCCGTGGCGACGCGCCGTTCCGGGCCAGCAACGCATCCTCCTGTGCTCCCTCCAAATCCTCTGACAACACCTCAGATTTCCGCCCCACACACCCGCTGCGCTGGAGACTCAGATGTTGCTGTGCTCCACAGGCCAGTTCGGACCGCCGAACCCCCGCGCCCACTACCGCGTGACGCGCACCCTTCCCGTCCCCTGCTCGCATCTCCTGGGGATGTCACCCATGGCGGCCTCAGCTCCTCCCAACCACTAAGGAACGCCGTACTCCCCTCTGCCAATGAGCCATCTTCCTTCTCCCTTGCTAGACACTCTGAGTCACTTGGCATCGACCCCACACACCCCCCCCCTCCTCTCTTCCCGACGGACCCGCCGCCGCCTCCCCTAGTTCTCCCCGGGTGGTTGCCTTTGTCCTGAGGTACACCTCTGCTGAAATGCAAGTGTCCCCCCCGCTGCCATCCAGTCGTGTGGTGCCGACCCCTCCCCAGTCGAAGAAGGTGGTGGAGGTGGCAGCCCATTGGAAGCAAGGGTGCTACGGGGACTGCCAGAGGCAGAACCATCCGCCGGCCGATCCGCTGACCTCGGGGGTGTGTGTCCTGAAGGCCGTCGTCGATGACGTGGAGATGACTCATGGCACAACTTACAACGATTCAAATGCAAACAGGAGAGAAGGCGATGGGATACATCAATCGCTATAGGGGATTGCGCGACAGACTTTTACGAAGTGGCGGACACTTATCGGAAGATTCCTTAATCACGGTCGCCCTCGCTGGCCTCGGTCCGTGTACGACGCGCTCCCTCCTACGAGCTCACAGGAGAATCTTTGAAATGCACTTGTGCGCGGAGCTTCACGCCGAGCAGGAAGACATGGACCTGTACGAGGAGCGCCACGCAATGAGACAAAGTCAGCAACTTGTGTTTTACGTGCACGGACGCAACGACACTCTCCTCCGTTCTGTCACTATTGCCGCACGTCTGAAAACCCGCGCTTCAACTGTCCAAGGCAGCAGTAGTGACATCAACAGCAGCAGCAGCCGCAACCACAGCAGTATCAGCCCCGAGCGCCACGTCCATCCTCGAGTCCAGTCGCCTCAACTCAGCATCGCCCACCAGCTTCGACGGACCAGTTTGCACAAGATGCACGCAACGTCGTTAGCTGCATGGCACGGACCGACTACTGTGTACCCGACTCTCTGCCTCACCACGACCTCGACGAGTGTCCACCCGCTCTGACACAGACACGGCTCCAACCAAATCCGACTTACGCTGCGATAGCCCGCGACGAACCGTCTAACCGCGGCACTTGGTTTCTTGATGGCTACTGTGGCCATCACAAGTGCCACCATGAGAACTCCTTGCACGTCCCATTGCTGGGGCATCGTCCGCGCCACCGTCGAAGAAGCTCCGCTTGATGCGCCGCCCATTGACGAACCACCGCCGACTGAAGCTGCACAACTGGAGGTGCATCCCCGCGAGCAACATCAAAGCGCCGCGACCGTCTCCGCTTCTACGCCAGCTCGGACTTGTACCGTCGATCTGTTGGACACAAGGCGAGCGAAGAGACATAGCATCAACGATTAGGTCATCCTGGCAACTCATGACTCTTTGGCACCATTCGCGCGAACGTTCTCGACAAGGACGCTCTCCTACTACTCGATGGCCATGAACTACGACGACCTCGATGTGCCTGTTTCATCTGTCCCAAAGCAGATCTTCCTCGTCAACCATTCCCATTGCATCACACTCTGAGTACACACCTCTCGAAAAAGTATAATGTTACATACTATATATCCGCGCGAAGTCGGCCGGGCCGACCTCCACTACGTCATCACCTTTGTCGATGCCGCCACGCGTTACACCTGGCATCTTAACCTGCCGGCACCCGACCTCGCCTTTTCTGCCTTCGTCGCATGGCTGCAGCGGAACGGGAGGGAGATGTGACGCTAAAAAGTTCTTAAATAGACAGAGCGATGGAATACCAGCCACAGTGCTTCAAGGACTACCTCGCAAAGAGGGGAATCTAGAGGCTCGTCACCCTCCCCTACGCTCATCCAGAGAACAATGTAGTAGAGAGGATGAACAAGACCCTCCAGAACACATGCGGAAGCTGCTGACTGGTATGCGCCTGCCCAACTCACAGTGGCTGGAAGCGATGAATCACGATGTCATGCTTCAGAATCTTATATCATATAGCTCCCTGCCAAACAACGCATCACCACATCTGCTGTGGACAGGGAAGCAAGGCAGCACAAAACTTTTACGAGTTTTTGGCTGCATGGTACAGTACCGCCCGCAGACTGCATGAGCAGGATGTTTTTTGCAGCGGGCAAGATGGGGTCTACACCTCGGTGTGGAAAAACATTACAAGGCATGGAAAATATGGGATATCGAAGATAAGGAAACAGTACCGGCATGTGATGTGATCTTCTACGAGAACCTAACCCTCAACCATTACCTCGAGAACATCACCGTCAATCAGGATCCATTTGGTGGTTTTGCTGGCGTATGCGCATTCGCCTTGGTAGACGAAGAAGCTGACTTGGACAAACAGACCATTCCGAACGCATCTGCAGCTGTTGGACCTCTACCCTACTGCTCGAACGATGTCCCCATGGATGACGACAACCCTCGTGAAAGTGCGAATGCTGACGCATATTACCATTTTGCTGACAACGGTTACATTACCCCATAACGCGTAGACAACGATGTTTCTGAATGCTTAGGACCTGGATTCATACCTGACCCTGAAACGGGAGACGAAGCTGACCATCCCGAGGATCTTACCATTCCTCGCTGCACCAAAACTGGCCTACAGATACTTGGACTAGTCGCAGCCGTACACCCGCCGTCCTCCACATTGCCAGTCGAGGAGCCGAAGACTATCAAGAAAGCTTTGGAGGGACCACACAGAGAAAAATGGAGCAAGGCAATGGGTCGGGAGTTAGCGGCATTACACAACTGGAACACTTGGAAGTTAATTCCAATTTCTAAAACGATGGGAAAGACAATCCTCTCGTGAAAATGGGTCTTACGCGTGAAGACGAAAGCGGATGGGACCATCGAATCCTTCAAGGCTCGCTGGGTGGTGCGCGGATTCGACCAGCAGCACGGGTGACTACATCGAGACCTTTTCTCCAGTCTGTTGCCACACGTTCCTTCGAATCCTCCTCAACGTCATGGCCGCCCACAAGCTCCCTCTGCGCCAGATTGATGTCACCACGGCATTCCTCTATGTCCCTGTCGATGCTGATACTTTCATCGAGCAGCCCCACGCGTATGTCGACGACCCCGTGCTGGTATGGGAGCTCATCAAATCCTTTTACGGGATTAAGTAGGCTCCGCGCCTGTGGCAGCAATACCTGCACCGAATCCTCACCGCCATAGGCTTCGCCTAGCTGCCCCACGACAAGGGCATGTACCGCCTCTCCTACAGCGGCTACTACATGCTGCTCATCGTCTACGTAGACGATCTACTCTTCGTCGGCTCCACAACCTCCATTACCATCTGGTTCGAAGGGGAACTAGAGCTATAACTCACCATCACGGTATCGCCTACTGTAACGCAGTACCTAGGGGTCAACATCACCGACGGCCCCAACACCATCCACCTTTCGGCCTCCAAGTACGCCGAGAACATCGCTCGGCAGTTCGATCTCTCCCTAATGCCCCTTGCTACTCCGTACCTCAACGTGCCGCCAACTCCCGCCTCGTCCTCCTCACTCCTAGCCTCGGCCAGAATTTAGGAATATCAGCAGAAGTTGGGCTGTCTGCTATTCACCGCCGTCAACTGCCGCCCTGATCTCTCCTACGCCACTAGTCAGCTCGTCACATACCTTAAGTGACCTAAAGGGGGGAATCTGAAGGAACTCGATCGCGCATTCCACTACTTCATTTCGACCCCGAGGATCGGTCTCACCTACGCACTCAAGAAAACAAGAACTAATCGCCCTCTCATCTGCTAATGCTGAATATTTCGCCCTTTGCAAAGCTACAAAGGAAGGACTTTACCTACTCGAAGAAGCAAAGATTGCCGAGTTACCAAGCTTCTCCCTCTTCTGCGACAACCAATCGGCGATCAGAATTGCTAACAAAAATGGATTCACGAACAGGATGAAGCACATCTCGCTTCGCTACTTCTTCATAAAATATGAGATCGAACAGCGACGTCTCTAATTGGCCTACTGCCCCACCACCAAAATGGTAGCCGACTATTTGACCAAGAAACGGATGAAGTCGAAGTTCCAGTATTGCATGTTGCTAACTAGACTGCAACACATCAGCAACCTCGACCACA